GAAACAGCAAGGACACCAGCGAGCATGCAGAGCAACTTCGCAGCCCCGGTCAGTAGAGTGACCGTGCCATTCCGATATACAACCTAGACACGCCATCCGCGTTTTGAGACGCGACAGAAGAGACCATGTGTGCCCGACATCCTCCATCCGTTACCAGTGCCTCCAGCAGCTTTCGCAGCACAGTTTTCACCTTGGTGTTCAAACGGCGGCATGGCTTCTTGGTCTGCGGCAGCCTTTCTGTGCAGGTGCAGAAAGAACGTTTTCATTGTGATTACTGCAAGAACACTGGTAGGCGTCGTCGTCGTCGATGTCGTGGCGGTGGTGATGAAAAAGAAGGTAGAGTAACTGTTCCGTGGTCGGCGCGGTGGTGCTGGCGGTGTACACGGTCACGGCTATGCCACGAAAAGCTATCTTAGCAATAGAGCCTTTGTCCGTTGCAGCAGAGTCACCAGCTCCACCTCAAGAAGGTTGTACTTGCTCCTGGGCTCTTTGGCAGTCCGTCCCTCCGAGCAGGCCTTCCCGAGGGTTCTTGGGTTGAGACTGATCGAAACTCCAGTCCCAGACTTAAGAAATGTCTCAGCCATGTGGTTGAGTCGCCTGTTCAAGGAACTCCAAGCAAGTTGGACCTACATCGCCTTGGACAACTTCAGCTGATCCTTCCTTGTTGCTTTTCTTCAACACACACGCTTCAAAGGAGTGCACTTCCCGTGTTGAACAAGCCTGATATGTATTGATTTCGCTTCTCTTTCAGCTTTGGTTTTGCTGCCTCCATGATTTTCTTCCTTCCTGCTTGGCGCCGTACTCACAAGAGTGCAACATCATCGCAATGAGGCTCCATACCCGAGACCTGCTGCACCTTCCGAAGACCCCCACATCTAAATGCTTATGCCGGTACGTCTACTAACTACATGATTTCATGAAAGCATTGCCAGCTCTTGGTGCAAGGGTCCCTTCGTTGTTTTGGCTCTCCATGTTGGTGATGCCCACACGCCCGCCAAAAGCTCGCAGAAACGCCGTCACAGTCTGGCAAGCTTCGAGGTGGCTTCAAGTAAGCAACCCCTGACATGTCAAAGGCCGCCAACAAGTATTCTCAGTTTTGAGTTTTGGCCAAACCCACACAGTGCAAGATGTGGCAGCTGGCCCTTGACTTGCTGCCTGATCGCGCGGATCAGCAAGCTTTGCCCGTCTAGGCCTCGCTGCCATCGTCCGAGGTATCCAGCAACAGGATCGGTGCCTTGCGCTGCGACCTGAGCATACACACGCATACACTCCGACAATCCCCGACCCACATTCTGCAATAGAACCGGCTTGTGCTGGACGTGCGGCTTGCTGAGAAACGGCTTGGTCATCACACACGACGAAAAAGTGCTCATCGGCAGGCCATCCTCACCGGCGGACACCGCTGTGCGAAGTCGTGGTTTCCCTGGTTTGGACTCACACACTCGCGCACAGCAGGCATGGCTTCATTCCGTCCGAGCTTGCTACGTTAACATAAGGGGCCGATCGACGATGCACTGAGGCGAAGATTTTCTTGCTTTGGGGGGGTTTTGGGATCTCAAGCTGCAGCGCAACAGGGTGGTGCTGTCTTGCATTGAGTGCTGCAACATGACATCTGACAAACTTGGCGGTGGCGAGTGAGGCAACTAAGACGGAAGATGACGACAGTGTCCTGCAGCCTGCCGTCGTAGAACTGCGAACTCGGCCACTCACGGATCAACGGATGCATGCGGTACTGCACCTGAGCTTGATAGGGCTGTGTTGAAGTCTGAAAAAGTGAGTTACAGTTACAGTCACTAGCTGCTCCTGCGGTGAATTGTTGCCCAGACATGCACGTTCCTTGTGCAACTGCAAGAGACCAGTTCGCCATGGCATGCGGCATGCCACCTGGCCTGGAGCATGTTGATCTCCTGGTTGAAGAGAGTGGGGGAATTGAGCAAGCGGTCAAAGAGCGAGCATCGCAGTCCTTACAAGGACACACCAAAGGCGAGATCTTTCGGCAGCATGACCAACAGAACATCCCACTCCTTCCCAGCAGCAAGTGTCCCTTCTCCTCTGCAGCGGGACAGAGGACCACTGGTGGGAGCTGCTGTTGGTCGCCGACCATCACAAGCTGCGCCTGCGCCTTCCTTGAGATTGAGGATCCAGTGTCCCGTTTATTTTCAGGCGGTTGCTTGCCTCCCTTCTCCCGGACAAGGCCCTGTAGTCAACAACGCTTCGACATTGGCCTCCAACTTTTCCTTCATTTCTACCGGAAAATCCACCCTCATGACCCTACCGCCACAAACGAATATGTTGCTTCCAACGGGTTGAGCTGCTGTAAGGCGATGAGGCAACGTGGCTCGGTGGCCTGGGAGGCCTCGTCGATCACCACCTTTGCAGCTTGATGGATTTCGGCAGCCAGGCTCTATAACTATAGGTGGAGTTTCCGTTTCGGCTTGGAGTCTTGCAAACGGAGTAACTTGGCAGGTTCCCGTACCGCGAATAGCCTTCGGATAGAGGTGACTGGGCGTGGCATCAGGGTACATAAACAATGCTTCACAAAATGCATAAGAAAGTAAATAAAAAAAGCAAACAAATAAAACAATAAACAAATACATAAACAAACATAAGTCCGTGAGTCTGTCTGTATGTATGTGTGCATGCATGTATGTACGTGCGCACGTACGTGGGTATACGACATATAAATATATCTATATCTGTATCTATATCTGTCTCTATCTTTCTTTCTATCGATCTATCTGTCTATCTATCTATCTATCTATCTATGTATCTATCTATCTATCCATCTATCTCTCCATCTATTCCTCTATCCATCCATCCATCCTTCCATCCTTCCTTCCTTCCATCCAACCATCCATCCATCTATGTACGATGATGTGTATACTATGTATACATGTCTATATGCACATACTACTTGACTACATAAATCTCTATGCGACGAGCACCATACGTAGCCACCACACCATACATACTATGCGCACAAGGCTTGCATACACAGTTGATGCATGACACGCCAAACACTTCCATTCCATCCACGACTTCATCCATCCATACATCTACCCGTCCATCTGAACATCCCTGCATCCATGAATGATGCATGCATGCCAGAACGCTCAATAATGCGTTCATTGATGAATGCCCCTATCTATGCATGCATGCATGCATGCATGCCTGCCTGCCTGCCTGCCTGCCTGCCTGCCTGCCTGCCTGTTGGTATGTATGTATGTATGTATGTAGGTAGGTAGGTAGGTAGGTAGGTATGCCTGTATGTAGGTATGTATGTATTCAAGTGGGCAGGTAGGCAGGCAGGTAGGGACTGCATCTACTTTTGTCTGCCTGCCTGCACACCTGCCTTCCAGCATATCTGTATTTGTGCACGTGTTCATGTATGCACATATGTATGCAATTATGCATGTATGCCTGTATGCATGCATGCCTCGCATGTATGCATGCATTCATGTAGGTATATGGTGTGTGTGTGTACATGTGTATGTACCTATGTAGGTAGGTATGTACATATGTATGTATATTTATTCATGTCTGTCTGCATGCATGTATGCAGCTGTATGCATGTGTGTCGGTATGTATGTACGCTTGCATACACATGGATGGTGTAATTTGCTCCTATGCCTGAGATCTGCCTGCATTTGTCTGTGTGTTCGCTTGCACATCTCTGCAAGTCTCTCCCGGCTCTGTACGGTTGCATGTGCGTGTGTCTCTGTGCGTCTTCGCTGCGCAAATTGCGGAAGACGGAGACTGAGTGTGGGTTGCTTTGCCCCGCTGCTGCGATTTTTGTGCGAAAGTTATGCCATGCAACCTCAAGCTTCAATACGATGCGTCAACATGCATATGCTCCCAGCAGATGGGGAGGGGCAGGCGCGGGTCCAGCTTCAGTTCTCCGCTCAGGCTGCGGAGACCTTGGACACTTCTCTATCACTCGCCCGACCTTGACACGGGCTACTGTTCTCAGCCACCGAAAGGCCCCGAATCACGCATCAAAGGCCATGCTGTCGCCTACACATGACACAAAAGAAGACCCAAGACTCAAGAAACCTCTAAGTCGAATGGGTTATGAATAAAGGAACGAGGCCACCAAAACAAAGCCGACAATCCCCAAACCCCTCCAGAGCCCCCTGCTGTGTGGAAGTTACTCCGCAGCAAGGCATCGCAGCCGCAGCCAACCAGCGTGGCACAAATGACCTGACAACAAGGGCCACGGCTCGGGCTTGCGGAAGCAAGCAATCAATAGAAACATGTCGAAACAGTCTTCTGCGTAGAACTTAGTCAAGCCATGCCTCAGCATTGGCAATCAAGTCGTCGGTCACCTGATAAGCTAAGAAGATCGTTGTGTCAGGCTGCCGGGAATGTCTGCACACATCTTGGCAGTGTTCGTGGAGGCAGCAACGACCAAAACAACGACTTCTGTCGTAAGGCCGCAGAAGTCCCGGTAGGAATCCGGTAAGCGCAACAGCAGAAACAGCCCTTGCTCTGGCGCCTCCTGCTCGTACTTCTGGATGTCCCGAACGTGCAAGGAGATGTCACGGTGGGCAAGGCCTTTGCCCTTGCCCTTGAGCGAACCTGCCACAAGCTGTGGTGTGTAAGCTTATCTGTCGCACATGGCCCCACAGTGTGATGGCAAGCACCCCCATCCAAGAATGCATTCTCAATTGTCCATATCTCAGCCTGAGTACAATGCGTCCTTCACTTTGGACAGGGCCTCCCGCCTTGGAGGCTCCAAGTCACGGCAAGCAGACCAAGGCTGTAAGGCTTCCCTGTGAAACTACAGAAGCAAACAGCAAGCCGCCCTGGGGCTGAGCCACCAGCGTCTCCTCGATCTTCGAGTTCCTTGTCATCAAAGTCTACGAACCCCAAACCCCCAAGAGGAAACCAGCAGAACGTCTGAAAAAGAAACGAAACACGTTAGGATCCCTCGCAGAAGCAGCTGGCTGGATGCTTCGAAGTTGTTCCTGTCTCTCGCCTGTTTACTGCCTCTGTCAGTCTCGATATGCTTCCAATTCAGTATTCCTACTCCAAACATGTCCCCTTTTTTGTATCAGATGTCGGTAACTACCTTCACTTGGTACATGATCCGAACACAGAGCTTCTAACATCCTTGTTGAAAGCATCCCACCGGCCCCAATCCCACATCCAGGCCCATGAAGCCCGAACTCTTGTCTTCAGGTCTGGGTCAGCTGATCAACCTGTCTGCTGCCAGGCCACAGAGGGTGCTCCTGGAGTGCTGTGGTAAAATTGTTGTTGCTACTGTTGTCGTTGTTTGTTGATTTGTAAAAGTGTTTGTTTGATTGTTTGTTTGTTTGTATTTGTGGTTGCTTTGGTTTGTTTTGGTTTGTTTGCTTCTTTTTTTTTTGGTTGGTTGGTTGGCTGGCTGGCTGGTTATTTGTCAAAGTTGCGCAAATGCAAATTCAGCAGGAAAGGCAGTAAGAGGTGCCTAGGCTTGGGTTGTCCGGTTTCTGTGCGATATGCATGGCGGGCTGTGGAAACTGCAGGGAATGGTGCTGACGGGGCTGGATTACCTCTGTCCCAAGTTGATGACGGGTAGCCCAGCACGGTGCTAAGGCACACCTCCCAGGAAGTAGAACAGCCGGTTACTCATCGAATACTCTGAACCAGAAATAGCCGTCGTTCTGAGAAGGGTTTCCAGGAGGCCATGACAGCACAAGCACATCCAAATCCACTGCGGGAAGACGGCCACGCTGCAACCAAAGTACTCTCCCCAACCACCAATTTTTTGAAGTCCACCTTCAGAAATATCAACTCTCCCAAAGGCCTTAATCCTCTGAAAACTAGCCCCCGCACTACACCAAGCCACCAAGCCCTAGGCTTTACACCTCGTAAAGCCCAAAGAAACCTGAAAACTTCGATTTTGTTCCGCCTCGGCCTGGGCCTGAAGGGTCTGTGCGCGAAGCTCCTCCCCAGAAGATCCCAGAAGGAAAAAAGGCTTAAGCCTTGTGGGCTGGTGGCTGCTTTTTATGGCTCCCAATGGTACTTTCAGTTGAAATCTTATCCCACTTCGGCCTCAATCCCACGACTCAAACTTGCTCCTGTTAGTTTCAAGTCTGACTGCGACGTGACGACTGCCCACATCAGATTCTCGTAAAGCGCCGGAGCCTGCCTGGCTCACCTTCGACGGAAAGCCAATCCGAAGTGCCTGCATGACACTTCGGAAGCAGGTGAGGGACTTCTAGCTGGTCATGACATTCTTGAGGATCTGGGTCCGTGGAAGACGCGAGACCGAAGCGACCGGCGACCAGTGTCTCTCAACGGCAGTCAGGAGCTCAGTTGCTGAAGAGCGTGGTTCGACCCCCGTTTTGCACAGCACAGGCAAGACGCAAGGAAGTGCGGTTAAATAAAGCATCCAGGTCCCACCACTGCCTGCCACTTGGCAACACGACACCATTCATTTAAGCTGTTATGCAAAACGAGGAGAGAGGTGAATAGCATTCCAATCCCAGAGCTCTGCAGCTGAAGTCTTGATTAGTAGGTGTTATGCTTTACCCTAGATCGCCTTGACACCCAAACGGATCAATCCTGCCAGCAGCTGATCCACGGCCACGTTGCCTTTCATGACTTTCCAGAAACATTGGGAGCGTTTTTGATCTGAACAAGCTTACTAGGGGAAGCAGATCGTTTCACAATCATCAAGAAGCCTTTGAATGCTAAGTCGTTGCTGAAGTACATGAAGGCTACCTCATCAGCAAGTCTGCTTCAGATCGTATGCCGTCTCAGGGCACTCGTACTACGCGAGATGACAAGATCTATGTAAAACATGTCGTTGACTGCGCATCAGGCGGACCAGGGGTTGACTGACACATACCCCAGCTCGGAAATTTCAAGTATAATCTCTGACCGGACTCTGTCAGCAGCAACCAAGATGTTGCAGCCACGGCTGTCCTGCATTAGCTGTGCAATGTTTCGACGGGCAGTGAAAATTCCCAAGGTTGTCACGGTCATCGGAAGTCTCGGAATAGCGTCTAAGATGCACCTGCCTGGAGAGACTCGTATCACGGATGGAAGCCCGACTTCAGCTGATTCCCGTACAGCGACGAATAGCAGGGGTTCGGTTTCGTGCTTGCAAAAAAGGCGGGGTGTGACATGGAGCAGGGCGCGGCTCGGGCGAACTCCTGGGGATATCTTCGCAGCCAGTTCCGACCTCACTGTTTTATGTGCGATGGCACTGGGCTACTACTTGTGCCCGTTAGTTATGCCACCAAAACCTCAAGTAGCCTCGCAGACTCGCAGCATCTCGCAGCTCTGAACAGAATGAAGCGGATCCTGGCAGTGCTTCTCCACCAGCCGGCGGACGAGGTGACAGGTAGTCGTGGTCTTTCCTGCAAGAAGGCAGAGGTGTCTGTCATGACAAAGAGAAACAACCTTTGTATAACCCGAAGGAGCTAGAGTCAGCAAGAGGCTCTCCAGAGCAGCAAACAGCTGAAACAGCTGGCCTGTGCCCGGAGGACCTTGGATCAAGCTCAAGGGAGCCTGGCCAAAGGTCGCTTGGATTTGTTGGATCCACATTCCAAAACATTCCAAAACCCCCGCCTAGCATTTTTAAATGTCGGCAAGAATCCAAGTGCTAGGAGTGCACAGAATGTCGCAGACGGATGTGCATAGCTGTTTATCAATGCCAAGAAATGTACACAGTCCGGGGAAGACCGAATCGACTCCCTGTCAGTCCACGCCTGTCACATCCACGGTTATGATCTATATCAACATGTCCACTTCTATTTTCCTGGTTGCAAACCTTTTAAGCCCAAACCCCATACACTTAGATTGAAAACTAGATCGGCCCCATATGCTGCAGAGCAATCAACCGCAGGCGACGGAATATCGCCTCAACTGCCTCGAGCGCTGCAGCGCTCTGTGAGGCATCCAAAAGCCCCCAGGCCTCCCCAGGGTTCTTACAGGCTGACAGGATGTCTTCAGAGATTTGGAGTTCTGGACCCTGCGAACGAAGCCAGCAGAACTGCGGGTCGGGTTCTGTTGCCAGCAGATTTCAGGCTACCTGGGGAAGGCTTGGAGAGGCTCTTGAAAACCTGTTGCGGCTCCACGAGTACGAAACACTCTCCAAACTTTGGGATGTAAAGCTTCAGCTTGGATGGTGCACTGATTCACCGGCCGCATCCTCAAACGGAGAGATACCGCTTTGAAGGAACCGGATGCGATGACCATGGTAGCCTCTGCGTACTCCTAGGTATTCAGCGAACATTCCCACAAGGGAGCACCCAAACCCGAAGCTAGCGCCTTGTCACGCATTCGCACAGAGCGTTACGAACCCCTTCGGCACCCTGCGGGCTCTCAACCACCACCATCAGAACAACAACATCACAAAGAAGAACAATAACCAAAAAGCTCTCTGGCTTTCATAGTCCCGTTCACGAAGGTCTTCTGCTGTACCACGCTCGTACTTGACGTGGAGGCCCCTCAAGCTTTCACAACAATCATAGTTTTGCTTGGGGCATTCTTACGTACGCCATACGAGCTTCAGAGTCCTGATGCAAGGCTGGGCCGACTGGCCAAAGTCTCTGAGCCTCTTCTGAATCTCTTCCGTGGGCACCGATGTGCTTCGGTGCCAGCGAACATTCTGGGCATGACTTCGGGCATTTGGCGGGTGCGTTAAATTGACAAGACATGTTCGCCTTATCACTTGCAAGCTAGGTGCAAAGTCTTTGCAAAGTGGAGGCACTGCTGGAAGCTTTAGAACGCAGTGGCTTAAGACATGCAGCAACAAGTGACGCCCAATTTGCTAGCCCAAGATCGGGCCCCGAGGGCGTGTACGATTTGCATCGACATCCGTTTCCGTTTCGAGTTCACCAGAGTTTCTTTCGGCAAAAGTTTGCGGACCTCCTCCATTATTGCCATTCTCACAACACGTCTGCACATTAGGACAGATGTGTGGACGACATTTCGCACTACTCTTCGTTCCCGGCCGGTCGTCGGCGAATCCTGCTGAAGCAACCTAAAATTCGCAACACAAGCATTCACAGTTTTTGTTGACCCTGTGCTCAGGCCGAGGCGTGAATGCTACGCCCTGAAATCCACATCCGGGCTACGGAAGCCTCGTGTTGCTCGGCAGGCTCGCGCTTCCGAAGTGCGCTCCCTTCCTGTTCGCGCATGCAGATTGACTAAGGTCAGACCTTAGAGACTCTCTGGGTGTTCAGGGCTGAGGGTGTAGACTATATCTATATATTATAATATATATATATATGTATATATATGTTTCGTCGTTGTTAGCGTCGCTGCGAAACACAATCTACTGATACCAGCCGAAGCAGCAGTAGCAGTAGCAGTAGCCGTAGCCCAAACCGTAGCAGTAGCAGTAGCAGTAGCAGTAACAGTAACAGCAGTAGCAGCAGCAGCAGGAGCAGCAGCAGTAGCAGTGGCAGCAGCAGTAGCAACAGCAGCAGCAGCAGCAGGAGCAGGAGCAGGGGTAGGAGCAGTAGGAGCAGGAGGAGCAGTAGTAGTAGTAGTAGTAGTAGTAGTAGTAGTGGTAGTAGTAATAGTAGCAGCAGTAGGAGCAGGGGTAGGGGTAGGAGTAGGAGTAGGAGTAGGAGTAGGAGTAGTAGTAGTAGTAGTAGTAGTAGAAAAAGTAGTAGAAGAAAAAGTAGAAGAAGAAGAAGTAGTAGTAATAGTAGTAGTAGTAGTAGTAGTAGTAGTAGTACTAGTCGTAGCAGCAGTAGTCGTCGTCGTGGTAGTAGTATTCGTAGTCGTAGTCGTGGCAGTAGTAGTAACTAGTAGTAGTAGAAGAAGTAGTAGTAGTAGCAGTAGAAGTGGTGGTGGTGGTGGTGGTAGTAGTAGTAGTAGTGGTGGTAGTAGTAGTAGTTAGTAGTTAGTAGTTAGTAGTTAGTAGTTGGTAGTTGGTAGTTAGTAGTTAGTAGTTAGTAGTTGGTAGTTGGTAGTAAGTAGTAAGTAGTTAGTAGTAGTAGTAGTAGTAGTAGTAGTAGTAGTGGTGGTAGGAAGAGGAGGAGGAGGAGTAGGAGTAGTAGGAGTAGTAGTAGTAGTAGTAGTGGTGGTGGTGGTGGTGGTGGTGGTGGTGGTGGTCGTCTAGTAGTAGTAGTAGTAGTAGTAGCAGTAGTAGTAGCAGTAGTAGTAGTAGTAGTAGTAGTAGTACTAGTAGTAGTAGTAGTAGTAGTAGTAGTAATTATTATTATTATTAGTAGTTTTAATTATTATTATTATTAGTAGTAGTAGTAGTAGCAGGAGTAGTAGTAGTAGGAGTAGTAGTAGGAGTAGTAGTAGTAGTAGTAGTAGTAGGAGGAGGAGGAGGAGGCGGAGGGGGAGGGGGAGGGGGAGGGGGAGGGGGAGGAGCGAGGAGGAGGAGGAGGAGTCGTCATCGTCGACGTCGTCCAGCGACAGCGACTGCGCCGCTTAAGAAACAGTTATTTTCAGGTGAGGGTGCCCTCGATCTCTTAGTTTTGAAGCGCGTGTTCTTGCATGATCACAAACAAGTGTCCGGACTTGGGTCACTTCGGATTTGCTAGCCCGAATTTCTGGAACTGAAAGGACTCCAAGATCACTCAGGATTAAAACAAGTACGATGGGTGAAGAAGCAACTGGGGGAATTGAGCCCATGGCCTTGGTGCATCTTGCGCTTGCTCCGCTACTGATAGATCTGATAGAGTCTGACAGAGCTCCTAGGCATGCCCGGAACCCCCCAAAGTGAGAAAGCGCAGGCCCTCAATTTCTTAAGTGTAAGAAATCGAGCCTATCAATTTATCATTTCATAGCCCTTTCAGAAGCCGCAACTAAGCTAGTGAAGCCCTTACTCAGCCCTGATTATTAGACATGCCCCGAACCCCGAAAATCAGAAATCGAATCCTTCATTTCCTTAAATTTAGGAAATCGAGCCCTCGTTTTCTTCTGTTGGTGGTTTTGATTTTTATGCCATAGCCTCATTAAGCCCTTATTACGCATTCATCGAGCCTGTAAAGCCCTTTTTACAGCCGTTACGAAGGCTTAATGAGCTGCCCTTATAAAGCCCTTACTAGGCACGCCCGGAGTCCCTAAAATTGAAATCGCTTTCGTAAGTTTGGAAATCGAGGGCTCAAGTTTTAGTTGTTTTCGATTGATTGTGCCAAAGCCTTATTAAGCCCTTACTAACCGTGTATAGAGCCTATAGTACCCTTCAGTGCCCTTCCCAAGCCGTTATGCAGGCCTTTGATGAAGCCCTTATTAAACCCCTATTAGGCACGCCCGAAGCCCCAAAGTAAAACATCAAGCCGCTCAATTTCTTAAAAATTCTGAGATCGAGACCCTCGCTATCTTACTTTGGGGGGTTTGCAGCACAGCTTACAGAAAGCGTTTGCGTTCCATTGGCAGGCTTTCAGAAGGCCCTTAAAGTTGAAAGTATGGTAATGGAAGGGGTGTTCGAAGATTCGCCCATGTTACACGAAAGCCTTTGTGGCAGCGGTAGTAGTGCCACGTAGCAGTGGTAATGGCCGGTCGTGCTCAACAAAATTCTCCAGAATGATGTGTTGCATGTTGTTTGTACCGTACATCCATGTGTTATTGTGTAGTGTTTCATTGAATTAATTTGAGACTTGGGTGTTCGAGGGGTGTGTGTGCTGAGATTGGAGGTGGGGCTGTCCCCTGGGTCGTAGCTGGGCACGTGGAGCGCGGGCGCGGTGGTCGTGGTTAAGCCCCTTTCGCTGTAGTCACAAGAATAAAAGGAGTTGCTGCCTAGTGTGGCGGTCACTGTTCAGTTCCGCAGGCTTTTTCCTAAACTGTGCATCAAGAGCTTCCAGCTGCAATGTGACGTCCACTCGTCTTCTCTGCTCTGCACATTCTCAAGGCAAGGGCTACGTCGTCAAGTCCGGCATGCAACAAAGTGTTATGAGCGAGAAGAACGTTCAGATTATGTGTGATTCACCTTTCATCGCGCCTCGGCTGCATTGTTCAAGCGATCCTACAGATTGCACGACTGGGCACGACAAGCGCAGTGCCCATCCGGAAGTAAACATGCCACGCATAGTTGCGAGAATGCCCTGTCTAGAGATCTGACTGGCGAGCCCGAAATGGGTGCTTATGACAGGTTTTGTGGTTCTGCCCGACAGCATCTAAAGTTGGTTGATCTGATTCTAGGTCAGTTGCCAGCACTCGTAGGGAAATGTATGCATGTTAAATATCTCCCTCATGAGGTCAAGCTTTTTGAGACGTACAATGGCAGCCAGACGCTGTACTTTCTGCTGGACCTTGTGATGCAGCAATCTAGTTACATCTCTGCAGCTTTGCACGGACCGTGCGGTGATCCAAGCAAGCACTACATCGCACGATGCAGGAATTGGCGCTCGGGGGTGAACTCTATGCCACTTACAACAAGAAGGGACTTTTCGGCAAGGACCTGACCCTGAAATCATGCTTGCACCATCTTGCACACATCCAGCTTGTCTCCCCTTGCTTGTGCTTTCTATAGTACAGTAGTTCTGCAACGGCCTGCTTGGTGTCCAGACGGGATGGCTTGTTGACATCTGAAACTAGAAGCC